TCCATGCTTCCCCCATTTTCTCCATCCTTTGAATGAGGAAGTTAAAAGTTTCCTTCTTCGAATTTCCCCACTCCGTCGGGACTCCAAGATACTTTGAGTGGCAATTCGAGGAAGCGAAGCCAATGCTCGCGATTATATGATCTTTGACATCGCCCGGGACATTAGCACTAAAGAAGACTGAAGATTTGTTAATATTAACTTCTTGACCTGTGATAGCTCCATACTCACCAATGATATCAATAATATTCTGTGCTTCTTGGTGATCTGTTTTCCCGAAGATAACTGTGTCATCCGCAAACAGGCAATGAGTGAGCACTGGACATCTGGGATTCAGTTTAATCCCCTTCAGCTTATCATTCTCCACCGCCTTGTCAATCAGGAAGGTGAGGGCATTTGACATGAGAATGAATAAGAAAGGTGAAAGAGGGTCTCCTTGTCTAATGCCCCGGGAAGGTTTAAACGAGTCAGTTGCTTCTCCATTGAACAGAATGGAGAAGCTGACCGTTCTAATGCATGCACTGACCCAACCACACCATTTATTGTCAAACCCATATTTCTTGAGAAGAGCCTCCAGGCACTCCCAATCAACCATATCGTAGGCCTTCTTCATATCCAGTTTCAGCATCATATCTCTCCTTCGACCCCGCTTGTGGTTCTTGAAATGATGAAGGGCTTCATGGACAATGATGATATTATCTTGAATAAGCCTTCCCCCAATGAAAGCTGTTTGGAGCTCTGAAACCAGATCGGGGGTCCACCTCTTGAGACGCGTTGCCATAATCTTAGATATGATCTTGTATCTAAAATTACAGCAGCTAATAGGTCGGTATTGGCTTATCAACTCAGGGTTGTCGACCTTTGGAATCATTGCGATGTGAGTCTCATTCCATCCAGTTGGCATGGTAGTCGTTTCAAAGAATCCTCTAACTTCTCGACATAAGGTGTCTCCTAAGATATCCCAGTATCTCCTATAAAATCTTCCTGAGAAACCATCAGGACCCGGAGCTTTGCGAGCTCCCAGGGAGAAAACAGCTTTTCTAATTTCCCCGTCAGTCACCGTAGCACAAAGATCCTCGTTCATCTCCGTAGTCACCTTTTCAGGGAAGTCTTCTAACAAATGGTTAAAAGGAATAGGATTCCTGGCCTTAAAAAGTTCTTTGTAAAACCCTTCTGCAAGTCTTTTGAGACTATTCTCATCCTCTATCCAATTTCCTTCTCCATCTTGGAGTTTCAAAATTTTGTTCCTATGTTTCCTATGGATAGTGCTTGAATGAAAGAAAGAGGTATTTTGATCACCTTTTTGGAGCCAGTTAACTCTCGAGCATTGACTCCAGAATGCTTCTTCGTCCCTCCATAACTTGGTCAGCTCGATAGTCAACCTCTTTTCCTCCTCCACATTCTCAGTCGTTCTTGGCGGCTGTTGTAGCATTTCGAGCTTTGAAAGTATATCTTGCTCCCTTTGCATACTACTCTTATGGAAGTCTTTCGCCCACTCTTTTAAATCTCTTTGACATTTGTTCAACTGGTCCGTTGATTGGCCTCCCGGGTCCCACGCTCGGGCTATTATCTCCTTACATTCTTCCTTCTCCAACCATCGCTCATCAATCCTAAATGGTGTCTTCTTCCTCCTGTTACCTCGGTAGTGAAGCTCAAGTCTGATCGGGCAGTGATCAGACTCCACCATTTTCTCATGGAAGACCACTGCTTCTCCAAATTGGGCACGCCAGGACGTTGAGTCTAATCTCGCTCTAGTCAGGTTTTGGCCCGTTCTCTTATTGGTCCAAGTGAAAGGTTCCCCTTTGTATCCCAGGTCAATTAGAGCATTCTGGAATATGAACCTCTTAAAAGGTTCAACATTCTCGTACCTAAGAGGGCATCTCCCTTCCTTTTCATTCTCATACACCGCAGCATTGAAATCCCCTACAATAACCCAGCTATCATCCCTACTACTCCGCAGAGAGCTCAGGTGCTCCCAAAATTCCCTTCTACTAACAGCTGTAGAGGGTGCATGAACAAAAGTACAGAAAAATTTCCTACCCATATCTATACTAACATCCATATAATAGTTATCACTACTTAACACACTAATACTAATACCCGCTTTCCACCACAAAGCAAACCCCCTAGAAGAGTTAACCGGTTCAACATACTCTCTATTGGGGAAAATTTTGAGACTTCTTCTTTGATCTTCCATGAAGGCCTCGTTCTTGCTAGTCTCCATAAGAAAAACAATAGAAGGGCCTAAGCGTCGACACAAACGCTTTGCATAACTTCTTGTAAGGGGTGGGCCAAATCCCCTACAATTCCAACTTACAATACTCATTCCTGAAGAGGTGGCTTCTGGCGAACCACCGCTGCCCTCGTATCCCTTCCTTGCTCCCCATCCGAGTAGTTCTCCCTTGATTTGCTGCTGGAATGAGGCTTAAACCTCTGATTTTTCTTTTTTTTTGTTCTTCCCCCCAAGCCCTTCCATGAAAATAGCCTCATTTGGGCCCAAGAGGGTGTCTGCTCCCTCCCCCAACTCACCACTGGGCCCTTCATTATTAACTCGGCCCATCCCTTTCCTTTTTTTCAACTTCCGGCCCATCTCCTCTTCAAAAGCCCGCTGATCATGTTGGTAAAGGGAGACTTCGGTTGGGCCTCCCTCAAAGCCCGCTGCTCTCCCTTGCTTCCTCAGCCCAAGGGTTAGGCCCGTTTCAACTTCCTCTTCCTCCTGATCGGCGCCGCCGCCCAGCCTCCCTTCCTCTTCCAAACGCAGACCTCCCTCCATTGCCTCTGCTGTTCTTTCCATCTCAAGACTGAGATCCCTGCCTCCCATTTCTTCCCTATACCTCCCTCTCAGCCTCCCCTGATTCCCTTGATCCTCTTCTCTTCTGACTGTGAACCCAGGGGGAACTTGGGGGTTCCCAGCCGATTGATTGCCTTCTCCCAGAGCCAGTATTCCGGCACTTTCCTCCCTCCTCTGGTCCCAATTGCTCGATCCTGCTCTGTCCCTTCCCCCCGTCGAGCTACGCGACCTCTCCCCCTCTCTACTGTTTCTCGCGTTGCCCATCCTATGGGGAGAATCAATACCCGCCTTGAGAGATGAATTATACACCTCCGACAGATGCGCTACCCCATTCCTCCTCCTCTCCTCGTCCATCCTCCAACAGGTTGGCCAGTTGTGGCCGATACGTCCGCAAAAGTAGCACAGTTCAACTAACCTTTCGTATTTGAAATCGATTACCTCACAATAGTCCACCCCGGTTGCTTCATCTGTGAATGGAAAGTCGAATCCTGTCGGAATCGGCTCATTGAGATCCACCTCCACCAGTATCCTCAAGAATCTTCTATAGCCGGTGAATTCCAGGCTTGCTCTGTCAAGGTCGAGGAAGCTTGCAAAGTAGTGGGTTCCTATGGCCACCATGTTGTTTTCATTCCTTTGATTCTGGTGCATACCATGGATTTGCACCCAAACTGCGAGCTTCTCCATCGGTAAATCTTCTGGCGTCCCTCTTCCACTGTATTTTTCGATTGCTGTCTGGGTGTTTGATAAGCTCCATGGTCTTTCTCTCCAGATCCTTTCTCTGACTTCAGCGTTGCTAAAGGTGAATATGAAGAGGTTTTGGGTGTTAGTTGGTTGAACGTTCACCTCTCCATATCCACCCCAGGCATAGCGGGCAGCTCCTGCAGCTTTGGCCAAAGCTACCTTGTTCTCAGTCAGCATCCTCCCCAGCAGCATAGAAATTCCTCGGCCCCCTGTTGTAGTCAGATTTGGGCGCCCACCTCTTCCTCTTGATGCCGATGCCATGATTCCATCGGCGTTCCTCTGCTCATTTCGGGCAATGTTGTTGGTATCCATTATCCACACAGATTGGTTTTTCAGTTTGAACAGGTTTGTGTTTTTGCCAGAGGTAGCGAGAAGAGCAAAAAGGCAGCAATTCTCTTTCTTTTTGAGAGCACTCTGTCTTCCTCTTCCTGTTCTCCCCTCTTTATGGACTTTGCTAGGTATTTGATTCTCGCTCCCCTCTTGATGGTGGTAGGTACCCTTCCTTTCCAAGCCTTCATTATTCTTCTGCTGACTGAGATTAATTCTGCTCTGTTTTCTCCTTCTTTTGACAGGGGCTCTTGGCTCAATGGGCTTCCTCCTCTGTACTCGAACAGTATAGTCTTGCTTATAGATCAGCTTTTTAGGCCCTCTTCCTTCTTCTACTCTTCTATTCTTCTTCTTCTTCTGACAGGAGAACCAAATCCACCACCATTTTGGTGGTTTCCAGACAGCCCCTTTCTCAGTATCAACAACAGAGTATCCCCTGTGTTGTCTAGTCTCTACCCGCTTCTTTGCTACTGGAGCATAGCAGTCTCTTTCCCCCTCTAGATTGACACCATACCGATAAAGATCTTTGCATACAGATGTGTGATACTCTTGTACGCTCACTGTTAGAGCCCAAATTGCATTTGTCCTTCTCCATTTATTGCCGTCATCTGGAGGTTTCCAAATCTCCCTCTTCTTTATACCATCTCTGCTTGCTTCTCCTTTTAGTCTAATCACTGCGGGAATCTTCCCTGCCTCTGGATATATGGTTATACTGCCATCTTTTTGAGAAACAGATGGTTGGGGAAGAGTATTGATGGGTGAATTGATCACCAAGAGAGTCTCTGCAAGAGCTGGAACAGTCCCAGAAAGGGGGACGGAAAAGGAACCGTTTTTTGGTTCAGAGAACGTTACCGTTAGAGAGAGAGAGGAGAGAGACATAACGAATTGGACACATCGGATTGATAGGGTTGTTTTTTGTCAAATCCAGTTTCGGCTAAACACATTAAACCAAAAGAATTCACCCATCCCGATGCGGAACGCGTGCAACGAATACTAGTTATTTCATTATTTAAGAAATTGGTAACTTCGGATGGGGCTCTGGGCTGGGCCGACTACGAGGATTTATATGGGCTGTACCTACTCCTTGCTGTTGGACGAAGCTTTTCATTCAAAAAGTGGGCCCAAATGGGATGGCAGCATCTAGGGCCCAGATCAAGGGGCAACGTGGCAGAGGGGCAAGAGGGGTGGTGACTCGAGAAGTCTTGGTCAAGACTCGCACTTCCAAAGGAGCAAAGAATATCTGAAGAAGAGTACGAGGAGAGGAGAGGAGAAAATGGATGTTCGTCCATGTCGTTCTTCGTCGTCCTCCGGTTCGTCTTCCTCATCCAAGCTATGGATCGTGCAGGGTATTGTAGCCAGTGCTGTCATTGTGGCCGGTCTCGCCGCTCGAACTTATCTCGGCGGATCCAGAAAGTTTAGGAGCCGCGTCGTGGGTATTATTCCCGCTCGTTTCGCATCTTCACGCTTCCCCGGCAAGCCACTCGTTCAAATCCTGGGGAAACCCATGATCCAGGTTCCCTTTCTTCTCTTGGGTTTTCTCTGGGGATTCAGTCGTACTATTTAATTCATTGGTTCTTGAATGCATCCTCTGGCTTTCGTACTCGATTGCTTTTACTGAATCCAGTCATATTACGTGGGCTTCTTTTAGAAAGATGAAGTTTCGGAACCCGAGAGAGGTTTGTGTAAACTATTTTGACTCGGAAAATTTGGTTGGACGATCTGCAGAGAACTTGGGAGAGGGCTAAACTTTCAACTTGTCTGAATCATGTAGGTACGATGATAGAAAACGAAATTAGTTGGTCTTTGGTCTGTAGAATTTTTCATAAACATGTAGTTGTGGCTCATGCTTTGGGATTTCTAATTTCTAGAGCCCTTTGCTAGTGCAGTTGTGGCAACGGATGATGAGAAGATAGCAGAATGCTGCCGAGGGTTTGGTGCTGATGTTATAATGACTTCAGAATCCTGTCGCAATGGTGGGTTACTTTGGTGTTCGTTTTGTGATAACTTTTCTTCGTCTGCTAGCTTCTGCTGTTGCATCTTGGTTTACTATTTCATGGCGTGTAAACAGGTACTGAACGTTGCAATGAAGCTCTGCAAAAGCTACAGCAAAAATACGACGTTGTTGTCAATATTCAGGGAGACGAGCCTTTGATTGAACCCGGGATAATTGATGGAATTGTTAAAGCTTTGCAGGTGAGTTGTCAGCCATTTCTCTTACTTTCTTTGTTAATCTTCGACTGCCACATTTCTGAGCCAAAATATTGGAAGTGCTTTCCTGTAGCTTCTCTTGTGGTCTCTCAGGCTAATGCAATAGGCTAATCTTTATGGATAAGATTTCATTGAATGCTTAATTGAGAATTGAAGTGTGCATTTCATGTATCTAGGCAGCTCCAGATGCAGTGTTTAGCACCGCTGTAACAGCTTTGAAACCTGGAGATGCATTTGATCCGAACCGTGTAAAATGTGTGGTGGATAACAAAGGTTATGCCATCTACTTTTCCAGAGGGCTGATTCCTTATAATAAGTGAGCCTATAAACTATCCATATCTCGATTTCCTTTCAGTACTGTATCTAGTTTTAGAATCTTTAGGCTGGACCATCTTGATGATGTTTGGATCTACTTAATGCAGATCAGGAGCAGTCAATCCGCGGTATCCATATTTGCTACACCTTGGTATTCAGGTACGGAGACGAGTTTTCATTACGCCGTTTCTTCATCATGACGCTTGTAGTAGGGGGGAAGGGAAGAAAAGAAAACTTCATCATTCTTATGAAAGATCAAAGCTCTGTTATTCTGTACCATACTAGCCAAATTATGTGTTTGAACTCTTCACAATGATGTCATATGATGTTTCCAGAGTTATGATACAAAGTTTCTGAAGCTGTACCCAGAACTTCCACCTACTCCTCTGCAGCTAGAAGAAGATCTTGAACAGCTTAAAGTTCTTGAGAATGGTTACAAAATGAAGGTGGGTGGTTTCCTTTGGCCTTATGATTTACCTTGACTGAGTCACTGTATTTTGAATGTCTTGCCACCCCACATTTAATCTTCAAATTGCTGGCTATAAGTAAGCATTTGGATGACAGAAAGAAAATGAGCATTCCCAAAACTGCCTTGAGTGCAGTGAATCAAGCAGAACAAGTATTTTTATTACCCCTAACTTAATGAAGCCTGCCTGTAGTGATCAACACTTTATTGAGGCCACATTGATGTAGAATTCCTAGATATGGTATTTTTTTGGGTAAATACAATATATTATCCATAACTATTAAGTAGCGGGGAATTATAGCCCCAACTATCGAAATACAAATTATTAGCCATAACTATTGTTGTGGGTCAAGATTTGGCTAACAGCCCGTTACTGTTTTCAAATTTTTAACGTAGAAGGCCATGTCAGCATCGTAAAAAATATGATATGATGACTGCCACGTGGGAGCCAGCTCACCATCGTAAAAGCTTAGTCATCATTACTAACAAAAGTGTTAACGAAAACTTAACGATTGGCTAATAATTTGTATTTCGATAATTGTGGCTATAATTCCCCGCTGCTTAATAGTTATGGATAATATATTGTATTTGCCCTATTTTTTTTAATGGAATTAAATATGAAGTTGAATTAACACCAAAATGAATGCAATGATGTTTTAACAGAAAAAGTTGTTAAATATTATTCTGTGTGTATTAAGCAGCAAACTTACTGATTTTTTTTCCTCAGGTAATAAAGGTTGATCACGAAGCTCATGGTGTTGATGCCCCTGAAGACGTTGAGAAGATTGAAGCTCTGATGCGTGAGCACAACTTGTCCTAGCTTGGTGCTAGTATATCGAGATGAAAGAATTCATAAACATCATACTTGTTTAGTTTTACAAATCCGAATGGAGCTGTAATGCAGATAGCTGAGGTACATGTTCCATGCCTTCCTTACGGTCCTTCCCTCTCCCTTTCCTTATCAAAGCAAAGTTGGATTCTTTTCATTCTTGACACCTTCACATTGCACTTTTGCGCTAGGGTCATAATACCTTAGGCTGTAAAAATTCTAATTCTGGTAGATTGACTGGAGGTAGCAAGATACAGAATGGAGGGGAACTAGGCATCTTTTATAATTTATCTTTACAGCATACTGTTCTACGTGGAGTTGTGTTTGATTTCTGCAAGGGAACTGGTCTGTAATCTGTACGCTGTTTTACACTATTGATTGAGCAGTCAGCTGTTTAAGAGTTCATGGATCTGATTGCCTGCATTTGGTCACCACCCGTGACTGCAACTTCTACTCTTTGGCCCTACTTTTTCATGATCTCTCTCTTTTATTCCATTTCATCCTTTCGTGTTCTAGTATTATTTGATGGAAATGATTGTTTTTTGTTTTGGTTTTATTGCCATCCGAGAGGGGCAAAAAACAAAGGGGACCCCTTCTATGTAGGGAGGAGCGGTAACGACTGATTTGGCAGAAATGCATATTATAGACTGTTGGAAGATCGAGCACGTCGTGGTCATGAGTTATGAATGCTAAGGTGGCCAAAAACGTTGTCATTCATAGCAGAACTTTGATGACCTACCTGACCTTGCATGCAATGCAACAATAATGGCGGAATTTCTCAAAATTCAGTCTGGCGGACGGTGTGCCTAACATATATGGTCAGTCCTTTGCCATCTAATTCATGTCGATAGTTACTCGAGATAGTACTAGGATCAAACCTAATAGTATTACCACAAGTTTTAGTTCGCTATTCTCAAGAGCTGTTTGTTGCACAAAATGTCATGATTCCTTGTAATATGTACGGTACATGTAAAATAGTCATGGATCCTCCATGGGCCATGAATGCATTTTATTGCAGTCGCTAGTAAGTTGGACATGTTGAATATGAAATTATTCTTCAAACTAAAGTACATCAAAGCGTGTTTTAGTGTATTTTTCTCGAAAAAACATTAAAACTAACTACTTGCACAACTCTTATTTCCTACCCAAAATGAGCAAAACTCAGGTCTTCCTACCATGGTTCAAAAAGGCACGCCTAACCTTACGCTTAGCCCTTAGGCACGTCTAGGCGCAAGTCAATGGCAAAATGCCTCGCTTAGGAGTTTCGCGCCTAATTAGATACTGGAACTAGGGATGGCAATTACCCACCCATGGGTAATTTTACCCAAATCCAAATAGATCCATTTAGTATGGGTAGGGTTTGGATGAAGTGTATATGGGTTTGGGGGTTTGTAGATGGGTTTGGGTTAGATATGGATATTGCTTTCATAATGTAAATGCGTATAGGTTGGATATGGATATCTATTTACTTGAGGGTGTTTTAACTACACACACAAAAATTGGACCTATTTGTAAAACTGGGAAAGTTTAGGTACAAAAATGTAAGACCAAAAAATTTTAGGTACCAAAACGTAATTTTCCATCCATATTTAGAGGACTTATATGCAAAAAAATTAAATTTAGGTACTAACTCTGCATATCTATTAAGTTTAGGTACCAAACTGTAATTTGCCTTTGGGCATGGGTACAAACCCAAATCCATGTGTTAAAAACCCAACCCAACCCAAGTAAATGGGTATGGGTACAAATCCATCAAACTCTACTCATCTACCATTTATTTGAAAACCATACCCAACCCAATTGGGTTGGATAGTAAAATACCCATGGGTATGGGCAAAATTGTCATCCCTAACTGGAACACGTCAATGGAGTAAGGTGACATATAAATCTCTCCTAAACATTACTAGATGGAGCTAGGAAGTCAATAATAAAAGAGAAAATTACATCAACTACAAAACCAATTTTCTATATCAATATTTTCAATAGCTCAAGAACTTTGTGAGCTATTGAGCTATGATTCTATGAACTTTGTGAGCTATTGAGCTATGATTCTATGAATTCGTAAGTTGTGTTCTTTTCATTAAGTGTTGAGTAATTTATTAATAATTTTAACTTAAGTGAAGAATTGTTTTCGATTACTATTTAATTCATCATGCAGTGCGAATAACTATTTTTCTTGCAACGTCTAGACACGGTTAGTCTATGTCTAGGCGAGCTAGGCGCTAGGTAAAGGCTCAACGCCCGCCTTAAGCCTAACACCTTTTTGAACCTTGCTTCCTACACAGGTTATTAGTATCGTCATATATCAAAATAGACCGTTGTCAACATGTAACAGGCGTATGGATATTGAGGTATGTGTAGTTTTCCTGTAGTGAGTTAACAGGAGGGAATTTTGTGGGGATAGAACAAGAAAACCTAAAAATCCGCAGAGCTAATTTTATTATATTTGCTCACAATAATAGAAACTTTCGTCCTCACAGAGCAGAGGGAAGAGAGCGAGAGATAGAGAGAGGGAGGGAGAGAGAGAGAAACACGAGTCTCCTTCAAAAAAATAAATTTGTTTCTTCTGAAAGCTTCCCCTTGTTCGCATTGAAACCATTCTCTTGTCTCTCATCGTGCTTCTCATATCTGAGTCTTGTTTTTAGCAATTTTTTTAATGACTAACAATAACGACGCTCTTTCCATCGCTCTCCATATTTCCATCTAGTTCTCTCCAACTTTTCCCCTTTTTCTTTCCTCCGCCCCATTCTTAGAGACTCCCAGGAGAAAGGGGAGCTGGATTCAACTTCACCCTGCAATCTGCATTGGAGAAAAGGTACTTAACATGGCTGATGATTGATTGGGAAGGTCCCTCCCTACGTGGGTTCTGCTTTTCTTTTGATTTTTTTTTGTCAATCTTTTGCGCCCTTTAGATTTCTTTCCTTTTCCGGGATACACAGTGTATAATGGGTTGTTTGTGATTTCTAATTCAATGGGTGTTCACCATTCCGTGGATTTCTTTCTACTACTGGGTCCTTCTCTTTAGTTTGTCCTCCATTGATCCAAATGATTTTGAATCTTGAGTTTCCGTATTTGGGTTCTGTGTTTCTTTCTTAATCTCGTGATCTCTCTCTGCATTCCGTTTCTGGGATTTAGCTAATTGGGTTGTGGAGATGTGTATGATGATTCTTGTGTATAGGAAGGGCAAAGGGATCCTTTTCCCTTTTTCGTGTTTCAAAAGCTGGGATCTTTAGCTGGGATGATTTTGTGGTTTGTACCATTGTTGAGCTAAAAAAATGATTCGTTTCATATCAAATACTAAATACCTGTTTTAACTCTCTTCTTGCATTAAGAGGTTTGGTTTTCGTAATTTAAATTTTGTTAACTTCCTCCGAATGATAGCTGAATCTTATTTGTTTTTATTGTGTATATCTCAATATTTGATATCTGTTTTGATTCTCCATTTTGTCATTTTTGATCGAGTTCATTGGTCTGCGATTTCCATGTAGACCACCAGGGCATGGTGATGATAATAATGGGCTGTAAATTGTTCTTGTTTTTTTTATTGAGCAGCCTGTTTCTGCTGTTCATACTAAGTCTCAACCGTGGCGTCCTAGGCAGACAGTTGCTATTCAAACCAGAGGAGAAAAGTTCCTTAAGTGCTGACTTGAAATTGGATGTGAGAGGATCCTTCATTGGAATCCATGATAAGGTCCTGCAATGGGGTCTCTGAACATGGAGAAGAAGTGGGTTTTCCCTCTAGTCATAAGCTCTCTCATCTGTGTCTTCCTCTTAGCAACTTCATTCAACATGGGTCTTATCTCTTCACTCCACACCATCAATCACATCTTCAACATTTTCCCGTCTCGTGTAAACCAAACAGCAGGCCAAGGTTTTGCTGAAACAAAGGTTTCACAATCTCCTCCTCCACCTCCCCCTGGTCCTAAAATTCCTAGGTTTGCTTACTTGGTGTCTGGATCCAAAGGTGACCTGGATAAGCTTTGGAGAACTCTTCATGCCCTTTACCATCCGAGAAACCACTACGTCGTACACTTGGATCTTGAATCCCCGGCAGAAGAAAGGTTAGAGCTTGCTGCAAGAGTGGAGAAGCATCCGATTTTCGCCAAGTATGGGAACGTCTACATGAACTCCAAAGCGAATATGGTGACCTATAGAGGACCCACCATGGTGTCAAATACACTTCATGCTTGTGCAATTCTTTTGAAGAGGAGTAAAGAGTGGGATTGGTTCATCAACCTCAGTGCTTCTGATTATCCTCTTGTAACTCAAGATGGTCAGTGTTTGTCTTGATAGTGAATTTATATCAGGTCCTTCATCTCCTCGACAGGAAGCTCGTACTCTGAACTAGTGTTTACTCATCTGCTTATGTGGTGCAGATCTTTTGGACACGTTCTCAACTTTGAACCGAAATCTTAACTTCATCGAGCATACTAGCCAGTTGGGTTGGAAAGAGTAAGTTCTCTTCCCTGTTTCTCCACCTCTCTCCCAAGACTTTTAAAAATCAGCGTCCACAATGGAGGTAGAAGTTTGGAACTTGTTAGCAGTAAGTAATAGGTTACCCTATTCTGTTATCCAGGGAAAAGAGAGCAATGCCATTAATCGTGGATCCTGCACTCTACTCCACCACCAAGGAAGACATTTTCGGGGCTAACCCCAAGCGACCTCTGCCAACAGCATTCAAGTTGTTTACTGGTTAGTATATGTAATGTATCTGTTATAGTGCTCTCTCAGTGCTGCATACTTACCGCTATGCTAGAACCAGTTGAAATGTTTGTCTTTCCACTCATGAATTAGTATTTCACTCACCTTTTAATTTTTTACTCACTTTCTCTAATTGCAATGGGTTTCCCTACCTTTTTCTCTTAGCATTTTACAGTGAGCTCTATTTGTGAGATCCTACAAAATTTCATCTCACAGTCTAGTTTACCTTAGGAAGGTAGAACTCCAAGCTGGACAATTCAATCGCTATAATCAATCAGCATCTTCTAGGTGATAGTTTGAAGATCACTAGTTGTTCATCACTGAATAGAATCTTTATGTCTCGCTGCAAATAGCTTCTATTAGTTACCTTAATCTAATGGTTTAGGTGTTTGGCTGTGCTTCTGTTGAGAATGTATCTATTGGTTGATCAAGTTGTTTTCATGGAAAGCCAGCGACAACAATCCATTTTCACCATCTATCTGTGTTCAAAAGCTCCTTGCTGCTGTAGTTGTAACTCAGTATGTCTGAACTATCAGACATGGCACTTCACCTTCTGCTGACGATGAAAGATATCATCATCTTTTGTTTCACAGGTTCTGCATGGATGGTTCTCACACGTTCTTTTGTCGAGTACTTAATCTGGGGATGGGATAACCTACCGAGAACGTTGCTCATGTATTATGCAAACTTTGTGTCCTCTCCTGAAGGCTACTTCCACACGGTAATATGCAATGCTCCGGAGTATGCTCGAACGGCTATCAATCACGACCTGCACTACATTGCTTGGGATACGCCTCCAAAGCAGCATCCACATATACTTACCCTCAACGACACCGAAAACATGATTGCGAGTGGTGCTGCATTTGCCAGGAAGTTTCAGCACAATGACCCTGCCCTAGATAAGATTGACAACGATTTACTTGGCAGGAAGGTTGGGGCGTTCACTCCTGGAGGGTGGTGCTCCAATAGCCCCGATTGCACTGAAGTTGGGGACATGAACAAAGTTCAGCCAGGTCCAGGCGCAGACCGGCTCAAACATCTCATAGCTAGGGTAGCTTTAATGGCCAAGCGCGGAGAAGATCAGTGTAAATAGATTTTGCAAGAAGGATTATCGCTTGCATGCTGATACAAGGAAACAATTTAAAAGGGTAAGATGGGGGGTTTGATTCTCAGTCTACAGACCCAGATATATAGCTCATTGAGAAACTGAATGTAAGAAAAAAGGAATTTTTAGTTTTTGTTGTTAACTCGTTATGATGCTGGAGTTGCTGCTGCAGCTATAGGGCTCATTGTTACCAGAGTTGTAAGGTGAGCAGCTAGTTGTTGTTGTCATTGTCAACAGAGATAGAATATTTATCTGTTTGAGCCGGCTTTAGATACAGGATTATAGAATGGAAGAAGAATAACTTTCTTTTTTCTCTTTTTGTAGGTTCTCCATCATTTTATAGAGTTGTTTTTTTTTTCTTTTCCTTCCAGATTTTGTTCTTCTAACAGTTGCTTTTGGTGTACCCTTTTAACCTTCTTTCCCCAATATGTCTGAACTATTTTCCAATAATTGGATCATGCCTTGCTTTACCTTGCAGTAGTAGTT